GAAAACAATCTAATAGTAATAGCATAATATCATAGCACCCTTTTGAATGTATAACAAACTGACATTTTCACATCTACATCGCACATTGGTGCAACAATCCAATATTATTGTGTAATGGTGTGCCGGCAAATTTATGTTCAAGTGTCGTGCAGTCGTGCCCAGACTAAAATAATATATAATAATAATTGTGTACACGAATTCTCGTTCTAATTAAGAAATCACAAAGAACTGCGGAAAAAAATTTAGTATCTACCCATTAAATTATACCACCCAACAACGATTTAGTCAGTTGACCTGCCGATGAAGTCGAGCTGAATAAAAAGCAAAAAACGAATAACTACTACGATTTATATTATGTATAATACAATATAATCGTATTCTGTATTATAATCGAAAAATTCGCAATTTATAACAATGACAAAATCTTAGCGATTAGTGAAACACTCGACGATTTGATTTGAATTTATAATTATTCTCAGTATCCCTTCAACCGCATAAGCAATATCTGTGGGTGGTTATATCATACATAATATTGTACCTATCATAATTGGGTGTGTTATAAATCATGTGTCACGATATAAACATGAATAGTTAGCATATTAATAAAATGTTATTATTTTTAATAAATATCTCGCTAGATGGGAAGAATAAAACATAACGACTGCTGCACAAAGTTAGAGTGGTCTGGCATGTTTTTGTCCAAAAACAAAAATAATTATATTTTTGCGGAGGTTTGGATAATAATTTGTAGATATATTACGATTGTACCTATATGACCTGTACTTTATAGTATCCGTCATCTCATCGTGGGCACCCCCAACGCAGGTATCTACATATAAAATTATAACCCACGTTTTCCAAATCAAGACTACGTGTACATAATTACGAGTATACGACATTGAGCTTCAATCGAAATATATACCGCCCCGTGAAAAACTATTTAAAAATATTATAGTACCAATAAGACAGCAATTCATAGTTATGACCATAATACTAAAATCCTTATATATGGCATTATAATAAAAGCGCACATTACGTAATGTTAAGTATTATATGTTAAATCTATCGTCATTGTATAGTGTACTAAAGATGACAGGTTAAAAATGTTACTATCGAGAGATAAATTAAGCGATAAATCAGTTAAATCGTTTTTATTCATAATATTCAATACGTATTTATCGATTAAATCGTAATCATTAATAATCCTATAAAGCAAGACACTTAATGATAATTATCGAAATTCATGAACATATATAATTCGTTTTAAAAACTGTAAACTGTGCAAATATACCTAATTTTTTCGCCGTATTTTAAATGATATTAACAATCGATTTTTTTACAAATAACTACAGGAAATATTGTTCAGAAAATAAAAATGATTCTTATTTGCATTCCTTACAAGTTGAGCACATTTGGTAAGTTTCCCTACACTAATAAAATATTCTAACGAAATTTTCCGATGACGACAACATAACAATGATAATAGTGTTATTATTATATTACGATTAAAGTCGCCGTGGAGACTTAAACGCTGGAAGCTATGGGCGCGTTTAGCGTCCTTGGTATTCGACTATTATGCAGTCGGAACGGGTGCCAAAGAATTTTTATACGTTTTTAAAGACTCCGGCAAATGATTTTCAATTCGAGTACGCCCCACGATACCATAAAACGTATTCGGCGTGACGACGACTACGACTCGACATATTATAAAATGTTTACTAGGAAATTATATATATATATTTCATATAACGGCAACAGGCTTATTCACTTTATGAAACGAATAAATATTATTTTTATTATTATAAAACATAATGGATTACAATAGTATAAGTTTAATATATATATATATATATATATATATATATATATATATACATATAAAATATATTAGTTATATCTCATATAACCTGATTTCGTCCCCAAAAAAATGAACTAATATAAAAACGTTTCTACATAAAACTGTATATCTCTGATTTATAGTACCTTAGCTCGCAAGAAATTATATAGAAATTTCGAGTAATATGTGTGTAAAATTTAATGTCAATTGATACTGAAGTTTAAAAGTATATACTAAAACTAAATGAGCTTTATATGTTTAAACGTAAATTAATTTTTATATATAGATGATAATATTATACATATTACGACCACAATAATAATGTGCGTTATTTGTATTATATATTACATTATTGTTTTGTTTTCAAATTATTACATCACACAGACGACGCTATAAATCTCTTTTAGTCTTTAGATAATATAGGTGTACATATTATTATACTTATATTAATATATGCATATTATAGCGCGCGACTGGTTTCAAAATCTATTTTTCGCATCTCAAAAAGTTCTCATAGGCCGACACCGCCGCAGACGACAATAAATATTCAGCTATTGGCCTGCACTCTATTGTGAGCTTATAGATTATAAAAAGATTTACGATTTACGCACACAAACATTATATTATATACACGTGTGTATACCCGGTTCACGCCATCTACGTATACGCGTACTTGCGGACATACGTGTGTATCTTATACGTGTAGAAAAGAGTTCGAGTATAAATTGTCGCGAATCAAACAACGACTGCGGTTTCGTTATCGGCGCGGTAATAATAATTGAGTTGAATTGGAAAGCGCGCGCTCGCGCGCGTGTGTATGTGTGTAGCAAGCGTATAAGGAAACAGAAGAACACGAGAAGGGTGATGTGGAGGTAGTGGTGGCGGCAATGTTGAAGACGGGGTGGTGGTGGAGGAGGAAAAACAAATTGTGTACATATGGCCGAGAGAGTTCACTGACTTGCGGGAAGAGAATTCCAAAACCAGAAATGTTTCTTAGAAAATATATATATATGTTTATATATATATATATATAAGTATATAATATACAAATTCTAATTCGACTGAATAATTGGGCGTCTTACTGTATCGACAATTTACCTATTATATTATTGAATTCGGATTTTACGTAATTATATATATATTTTAATTTTCGTAATATCACCTAAAATTTGTATTTCTACATTAATTTTTTTTTCTTAAATACATTTTCATTTAAATAAAAATTTGTTATCATATGATATTATCATAATTGAGTTTTGGGTTAAAAAAGAGATATATTTGTTATTGGAACGGTTTAACAGTTCTCGTTAGATAAAAAGAATACACGTTCTGATAATTTCCATATTATAATATGTATATATAGTTTATACGTAAAGCGCAATGCAGCTGTATAGTTCATAATACACGAATCTGAAACTTTGCGGGTTTATAAAGTAATATTATGCGTGGAAAAATAGCAATGTAGGCTTTTTAATACGCGCGTGTGTGTAAAATATAATATTATATATTAATTACGTCCCAAGTGTTCTTTGAGATTAAATTTACATGGGAATAAAATGATAAAAGAATAGTAATATTAGAAACCTACATTTATTTATAATTATCTATCTCCTTCCTTTAGAAATCAAGATTGGATAAATATATGTTATATTCAATTTAATATCATCATTATTATTATTATTACTACATAATATGTCGCGCTGGTGTCTCCGAAAAGTAATGAATAAAATCGAATTGGTAATATAATACTAATAATATATATAATACATATAATATATTAATATATTCTATAATTATTATCGTAATATCGTGTAGGTTCAATCGATTAGTGATGAACCTTTCACGAGACACAATAATAATGTAATATTATTATGATATTACCCATAATACAAAGTAATATTTATTATTAAAATTGATTTGTATACCGTGACTTTTATATTAAACAATATTATATACCAGCGGAAATCGTTGTACATTATACGGCACATATATAAATGCATCCTTAACTTAGATTCGCGCGTATATATTTCCGGAAATGTATTCTTTAAACAATAATATACCTAAGTAGTAGGTGGTACCCAACACTTAATAACATTGTAGTACCTACGGCTCGCCGCGATCGTGTTAATTCTATTTTGTAAGGTCAGTGGTCATCACTTTGGTTTATTGTATTAAATTAATGAATTAGCTATCACTATTATTATACTGTCAAGCACATTTCAATTCTAAATAAAACTAAATGTTTTATATTAGAAAAATTATAATAATAAGCATTAATCACTTAATAGAAATAAATCAGCAAAACAATTAAAGCGCAGGTGAAATGGTTTATTTTATAATATTAAGTCTTGATAAACTATAATAATTATCATTTTATTATATCACCGTAAATGTGTACATGGAACTTATGAAAAGTATATGATATATAAAGGGGCAAAAGTGAAATGTGGGAATTTTGTGTGATTTGGACTAAAAGATAATCGCTTAAGCATCCTTCCTCCGATTCAAATTCTTCAGAAATATCACTATTTTGTAAAACTCTACATAGCGATGACTACATGGAATGTTTTTTTAGACTCTCAATAAATTGACTGTTTTGTGTATAATATTTGGTTTAAAACAAAATATCTAAAAAAATAAAAATGTAATGGTAAAAATGTTTGGTTTACTAGCAGTGGTCCCCACGTCAGTACCATTATTAGCTGTCATATAAGTTACACAATTATTTATCTATAGAAATATCAGATTTTTACGGGAATTAGAATGCTACCTACTTCAGCTGAACAAACGGACCATAATATTAAATATTTTATTATTGTGTATTATTATGCCACTGGAATTTCACACGAAATAATTTTCTTTTATTTTTATCAATGTTATATGAAAGTTTCATGTCTCAATAGTAGAACGTATTATATCTGTTATTCTCTGGAATAATCTTAAGCATAATGTTTATTCTCGCGTGTAACGATTAAGTTGATAAATGTATGTACAGTGCAAAACACTTGACCTATGATACTTTTCACAGTCTTGTTAAAATATTTCTTTTTATCTGTGTTTTTATATATATGTATGTATACGATATTGGTACACTATAATACCTAAACTATCAACAACTTATAATAATTTGTGTTAAGTATGTCATTCAAACAATTATTATTACCTGTATCCATCGAATCCTTCGTCAGACCCGTTCACTGTGAGTATCGGTGCTCGGGCATAAGCTTTGGCCACTCGACGGTTTCTTTCAAGCACTATCACTTTGGCCCAAATTTCGTCGTCGATTTGCGTCCATTTATCTAATACTTCCTGAATATGATCCTGAGAACGAAAAAATAAAATAAAAAATAAATAAACAATGAGAACATAATATTTACTATGATAATGATAAAATGTATATGCCTATAATATGGGAGAATATTATAAACTATTAATAGCTATACTGAATGTACTAATGCAGAAAAAGATTAGTTTTGTCTGATAAATTATAAATTTAATACCGTCGCAACGTACACAATTATTACGTACTTATCACATTTAAAAATTAACCCACAGCCCTATATAAATAATTAATTACTGTAGATTATTAATGCTGAATTTTCCAAAGTATTTCCAAGACAATTCAAAATTATTAATCAAGTTACAACTTAGGCCCCTTTCACATGGGTGCGTATCGTAAGTACGCGTTTTTAGTTTACATTGAATAAGTTCATATGCACCACTCTAATGATAGTGCATTTCCCTCGCCGGTATTGCGCATATCAACTTATTTAATGTAAACTAAAAACGCGCGAATACGATACGCGCCCATGTGAAACGGGTCTTATGCATTCTTTATTGTTTATGTTGATGTAATTATTTTCATTTACAAAAATATATTTTTAATATTTTTTGTTACCTATGTATTTAATTGAAAACAATTAATTTAAAAAGATAAAAAATGTTGAAACATAAAATAAATAATAATTAATATCCAGCATGAAATTACTCACATACATTAATAATTCTTAACGTACTTAACACATTTCTTACTCATTTCCTTTAAAAAAAGTTTCTCAAACTTTATAAAATATTTATATATTTTATTTTTATATTTAGTGTAATATATATAATATATATATAATTTTAAAATATTTGGTTGGTATTATTATCATTATACGTGAAGTACGGACAAGTTATAAACAGTTACCGGCAAACTGATTATTATCAGAAAATTATTAAGGTAATAAAATAAAAATGCTGTTTCCTGGAACACAATTTATTTGCATGTAGAGGAGAAATTTTTAGCCGTGTTTTCTACCTTCGAAACTATCAAAGAGGTTAAAGGTATGACCAAATAACAGTGTTTCTTTCAAGTTATATTATATCATATTATTCAAAAATAAAATATCAAAACAATTTGTTATTTATAGGTAGCTATATCGATAACGACAATGTAAAAAATGTTTTGGTGGTTGTTTACGTAATAACGCGCATTAGTAGCACTGCATAATAATAAGTACAATGTAGGTGCCTTCTTACCGATATATAATATGTAAATATAAGAAGATAGTCGACATATACTATAGCTTCATATAGGATATTATAATAACATACTATATTATACTATTATAGTCTGCGAATAAAAATAAAAACTACGTTTCGTGTACCGTGGACAATAACAGATAAATTTAAGACGCGTATAATATTGTAATACTACTACAGTATATACGTAATATTATACTTTATATCGTACGGATGGTTTTAAACGTGTAAAACCACTCGGTCGTCACTAAACACGCATAACATTAAAATCGTGGAGTTTATATGTATACGCCCAACAATGCACCCGATAATTCGTATACACAAAGGTTGTTAATGTTAACAGCTTAAAGGTTTATTTATTTTTATGCTTTATAACTAACTAGTCGGCAAATCAGATACTTAAAAGTATCCGTGTTGTATTAACTTGGGGTTTTTTTGGTTAACTTTAAAAACCTATGAATTATTTATTATCTATAGCTGTAGTTAAAACAAAATTAAACATATTACTTGACACTAAATGCGTTTAAGTAACGTGTAATATGCCTAACCACTAAACAAATAATTTGGAACTTTAAATAATAATATAATTTATTTTTAATGAAATAAAAAAAATGAAAGTTGCTCAGCGATCACTACCTATGCATAACCCGCTAAGTAATAATTAAAAACAAGTAATTTCTTATTAATCTGGTTAAATATTATATCATTATTGCACAATATTTAAGTATTAACTTGTAACTTAACCTTTTCAACTTTGCCATTTTTACCTACTTATAACAAACATAACATCACCAATAATGGCACTTTATTATTTTATAACACCCACGGTAAAAAAAAAAAAATAAAATCGTATTTAATCGACAATCTTAAACACGCGTACCGTCCAACAGGAGCTAAATAATATCACGTACAAAGAATCAATCGCGATAATAACAATTTATAATGATACACATGGTATAAGGATGGTTATAATATCGTATAATGTATAATTATAATCGTAATGTATACTATTTGGCCAGAGATTTCCGCACACATGTCGTAATAACTCTGTAAGTGTAATAATATTAAATCGGCAACGACGATGGCAACGCCCTAAATCAAATCCGCACGCGTGTGTTACATAAAATGTATAACGAAAAAAAACACGATTTTTCCTGGACGACCTTGACGGTCGCGACTACCTCGGGAACTGTGCGAGAAGGAAGGAGTAGGTGAGAAAAAGAGTATAAGAGAGAAAAAGCAAAACCACACAAGTAATAATATTATATATATATATATATATAATATTAAAATTATATAAATGTAATCGTGGCAGGCGGGCTAACCCTCGGGGGTCTGTTTCGCGAAATCCGTTCGGGCGTGGTACCGCAGCCGCTGACGACCTTGCCCCGCCGATCACCGCTCTGATTTAAATTATTACTATAAAAAAATAGCATAATAATATGATATTAATGCACCACAAATTGGCCGATGGGTTATTTTTATCATTATATTATGGATTTTGTTTTTTTTTTTTTTTTAATAATTTTTCGCGCTCTGCTCCCGTCACGTCATGTATGTGTTTATGTGAATATACAATATACGATTTGCGGTGCGAGATTTTAATTTGCATTTTAAGTGAGAGTAAAACACCCGGCCGTGAAGACAATTTTCGTTTCACGGTATTAATATTATTATTACGACGATATAATAATAATAATAATAATAATAATAATACATATGCTTTATAATATTATGTATGTACCTACATAATGTATAGGTAATACTATAATACGCAGATTCTTATTAATATTTATCGCGAATATACCTATGGTATAGTGGTCGCGCGATACATGTTATCATTATTATTTTTGTTGTAGGTATAAGCGATTATAATCGAATTATTACGATGATCCAACGCACCGTGCAAAACGAACAAAACCTAACATACAACGCGTAAGAATAATAGGTGGGTGTAATGACTTTTTTCCACGTTGATATATCGTATTATAGAACTTTGATAGTCAGGATGAATTCAGAGTCCGAATTTTATTATACTTTGTACTCTGTAGAATTTTTTTAAAAGATACTTGTATAACCAAGAAATTTTGTTCCTTTGCACATTTATTAATGTTCTGACAATAAATTACAAGCATATTATAAGAAATTTAAAAAAATAAACACAGAAAAGAATGTAATAATAAAGTGTACAAATAAGGTTGAGTTAAATATTTATTATCAATAAAGCAAGTATTTTTTTTTCTGAGTGAATAGTACTCTGGACATAAATTACAAAAAAAAAAAAAAAAATGAAACCATTTTAAATACCTAGTAAGCTGCACGGTTCGATAGATGAGAAAAAAGAGAAGGGATCACAGTTAGCGAAATAATTGTTATAGTAACTACAATAAATTAAATCACTCTACCTAAAAATGCATATATTTATATATTTGCCCTATAGGTATATGTACTATAAAACACATCTAACATAATATTATATGTTTTTACTTATTATTACTAATATAATATATTATAACGGGATTTATTTTACGATATATTATTATTTAATTATGTTTTAGTCGTTCTCTCATAGAAGCGAAATATATTTTATTAAAATACGCCTACGCTGCCGCCGCGACTAGAGTAGGTAACTATATAATATTTGTAGACCTATACTCTGAACTGTTGGATTTTTAACGAATCGCGGTTTTTTACTTCTCTCGAAAATAAATAATACTCAACATATTATTATAAAAGGAAAAAAATTGAAGTCGACCGCGGTGGATCGTCATCGTGGGTGCATTTTCAGGCGTGTTACGCATGCACCGTAAATATAGACGACGATTACATGCTGCCGTGTTTCACTTTAAATCCAATCGTATAAACCACGTATATTCACTTCCATACTACAATTATATTATGTCGCCGTTGTACCACCATCGCAATAACGTATTTAATGTAATATATAATATAAGGCATCGCTCAGTATCACCGCCCCCGCGGCTTATACAATATACAATACGCGCATGCGTAATACAAATTTATTATTATCAAGTTCGTGATATTTATATTCAGGTCGACTACAGCACGACCTAATTTCCGCCTAGTCACATAGATGTAGACCGATGGTTGTCAATCTTTTTAAAATACAAACCATCCCCAAATTATAGATATTTAATTCAATTTTTGTGACATTTAAAAATATTTTTATATATATATATCTATTATCTACCGCATCGTTGATTTTAAATGATGATTGATTAATGTCCCTAGATTGAAAACCATAACAGGTCTTTATTGTGTTTTCAACTATGGTAAACTACTCTTTTAAATTTTGGATTTAAAAGTACATAGTTGAGGCTCATATACATTACACAGGCATGCCATACAAATTATGCTGTTTTTGACATAATTCCATAAGTATAGATATTATAGAATTCGCTATTATGAAATATGCTCTACTAATAATTTATTAAAAATTTATAATATAATTTTTAAAATAAGTAGTATACAGTTTTTAACGAATTTTATGCCTTTGTATATTATGATTATTTTATAAAGGCATATTTACATACCGTTTTTAGATTTTTTAAATCGTAAGCATTCCACATATCACACTAATTGTTATTATACGCATCCACTATCACTAAACTTCCGGTCTTCTAATAAGTAATAACCACAACAGAGGTTGATGCCATCGACGTGATACGGCATAATGCCGAGATACTTAATATTTCATATCGCTGTCGCCTACTGTTTCATCAGAAATAATAATAAATGAATATGTATTTTATGTTTATTACCATTGTGGTGCATCG